AGGAAAGCATTGCAGAATACTGCCAGTGAGGAAAGCAGGATCTACGTATTTCAATTACAAAGGATACCATTCATTTGTATTGATGGCAATCGCTGATGCCCACTATCGTTTTATTTATGCTGATGTCGGTGTTAATGGGAGAGTGGGTGATGCTGGAATTTGGTTGAACTCGGACCTGAAATACGCTATTGAAAAAAATGAAGTACATATACCAGCCCCATGCACGCTCCCTTTCATGTCAACTCCCTCGCCTTTTGTGCTTTTAGCCGATGATGCCTTTGCTCTAAAAGACTACTTAATGAAACCTTACTCTCATCTAAGACTATCACCAAGCGAACTTAAATACAACAACATACTTTCGAGGAACAGGCGCGTTGTTGAAAATGCTTTTGGCATTCTTGCGAACCGTTTTCGAGTTTTATTTTCACCCATCCATCGCGCTCCAGCTGCAGCCATTCAGATTGTATTATCTTGCGTATGTGTGCACAACTTTTTAAGAACAGAAAATGTGAAAAAGGAAACTACGTTTGACGCCATTTCCGAAAGTGAAATAGATGCAATAATAGATAACAACTAAACCACAACCGCTTCTGAAAGAAATGCGTCAAAAAGGAGCGCTGAAGAAATAAGAAAAACTTTCGAAAACTATTTTTCTGCGGTAAATTAAAATATCGTTTCATTGTTTAAATAAACCAAAACTTTTGGTGTTGGAAATTTTCCATACTAGTAGAAGCAACAATTGGTTTATTTGGTGACTAAATAAATGAGTACAATGTCTTCAATTTATGTACATACCTACTAGCTAATACCTGCCTACTTAGCGGTGCACCGTGAGTAGTACAAAAACTGTTACATTTTTGATTCAATTAGAGCAACCAAATATTTTAATGAAAGTAATAATAAAGTAAAAAAGTGGTAAGAATAATCAAAATACATATTCACTCGGCAAAATAATAACTCTGCCTCCTTTCGTAAAGTTTGACTATTTTCCTTTTGTTTATTGAACTTTAATAATTTACTTATAAAAATACACCCCATTAATTAAAAATCTTTAAACTTGGCAATATGTGGTGCGTTTATAATTATGACACGGGATGTATAGTTAACTCTACAAACAAAACCATATCAATAAAACTTTTAAACTTTAAACGAAATTCAGGAAAACTCATCAAAATTTCGATTTTTTTCTTTTAAATATTAAAAAGAAAATTGCATGTCTGTGTAGATGTGTAATTTTTATGTAATAAATGGCAAATTTCAAGTGGCTTAAGATCACCGTTAATTTTGGGTATTGTTTTTTTTTAAGCTGAGGGCGCCGCAACAACCCATTTTGTTTTTGAAATACTTAAAAGGAAGTTCGAAATTGTTATGTAATTTTATGCATTTTCTTGAATTTTGTTTAAAGTTTAAAGCTTCTAGGGATATGTGTTTGGTTGTAGAGTTAACTCTAAAGTTTTATAAATAAGTTATTAAAATTCAATAACCTACGGAAAATGGTCAAAACATGACAAAAAGGGACACTCCTATTTTTGTCTATGAGTGTACATACATACATATAAATAGTCATTGTGTTACATAAGCCCATTCCGTTTCAATTGCTCACTTTGCAGATCCATCAAAATGTCACGCATTTGTTTCTTCGCTTTGAGTTGCAAGTCGGGGTCCAGTTTTACAATTTCTTCACCCATGTATATACCAAAACTGTTTGCCTTTTCGTCAGTGTTATTTGTTTTTGATGCAACATGAAAGGCATTTGTTAAATTTTGTGATGCTTCGATTAAAGCAGAGGCGTTTTCTTCCAAATCATTATTAATTTTTGTTCTTCGTTTTCTTGTTGCATGAACCAACTTTCTAGTGCTATTGTTGTTATTGTCATCAAACCGACCACAGTTTTGCGAAGTAACCAGAGGTGGAGTTACAATCTCATCCGATATGATTTTAATTGGTGTTGCATCACTATTAGTGTCTTCTGTAGAGATGTTTTTAGTATCTTGCGAGCGACTGGATACTGCTGTTACTTGTAATTGCAAGAGGGGTAATTGTAATGAACTCTGTGTTGTCTTCGATGAGTGAAAAGGATGACTCTGAGTCAAAGCCTGGATCGAAACATTCTGCAGGCTGCAGTTGCTCCCCAAGCTTACGCGATGGATTGGGATCAGGGTCCAGGTTCTACAAGAGAATGCAAATATTAAGCAAATTTTACGTAGCACGCGAATCGACGCTTTGCCCGGTTTCACACAATAAAAGTCGTACCTGCAAACTCCACTTATTAAAATTATTCACTGATGGTGTATGCTCATTCACATGTTGTAGGAATTTCAAAGCTTCATAGAACTTCCAGCTGGTCTGTACGTTTTCGTCTCCGCCGGCACCGCTTCTCTTTGCCTTGTCCATCCTCTGCTTCTCTGAACTGAAATATGACTTGATGTTGCACCACTTGTGCGTAACTTCATCTTTAAATAAATATATGTATTATACAAACATATAATATATCTTTTAGTTATTACATGTGAACTTGCTAAAAACTTACCGTAATGAAATGGTACATTTGCTGTGAACGTTGAGTTCATTTCATCCACCAAAGCGAGCCAAAACTGCTGCTTTTTATATTTGTGCTTATATGATGGTAGCATATGATTCCATATATATTCTGCACCGTGGACTTTGTCAATTAAATGGAATACGTAGTTGTCTTGCCACTTTAATTTCATTTTTATTGTTATAAAACTGTTTTACATCAATTTTAATTTCGTTTATTTGAATTTCGGTAATGAAACGTCAAAATTCAGCTGTTCTTCACACAGAATTTTTCTTTCTCTAACACATTGCCGAATAGTTTTTGTAATTTGACTTTCGTCAGTTTTTTTGTTTGTATTTCAAATGAAAAATACAGGAAAAAAACGTAGTATCATACGGGCATTAGCTACACTCTAAAAAAAATTTTGTAGACTTCCTACCTAAAAGGAACGTTACTGATTTCCTACCTTATTATTCGCGAAATTACATGCTCGATTATTCAACGAATAGTTCGTTTAAATTTCGGACTTTTTATAGTGTAATATAGCTGCTGTGGTGTGCGTAAATTTACTAAGAAAGTGTGTACAAGCTACAAAATACACATCTGCTGTTTGATTTCACCCTTACGCTACGCGCACACTGCAGCCGGCATTGACCGAATTGTGCTCGGCCGATATCGGCTATATGCGGGCGATATGAATAAACCCTTGTGATTATATGAGCGCTCTCACACATAAACCGATAACCGAACCGGCATCGGCCGTTGACGTCCGTCAGTGACGATAAATTCAAACATGTTTGTTTTTCTCGTCCGATGTAAGGTGAAAAGTATCAAAATCGACTGCGATAAATTAAGTTATTGGGTGCAAAACAAAAAAATTACCTATAAAATCACATGTTTAGAGTATGTCAATTAAAATTTATCAAAATATTTCACTGCTTACAAAATTTAAATCAAAACTAGATTTGTGCGTACAAATACGGTCGGCAAATAATCTGGTTAAGTGTGCGCATCAGTTCGGACGGTCAAATTGTTCGGCCGAAATCGGTCGGCCTATCGGATGCAATGTGCGCCTAGCGTTAGAATTGTGTAAAGCCACGAACAGAAAGGATTTTACACACGAAAATGTGTAAACGAGAAAAACGCATATTTATCGTGTAAATTTACCAAAAAATTAAAAAAATAAACAAAAATATACTCGATTTATAGTCGCATTTTTAAACAGATTTTTTAGAGTGTACGTATAACAACAGTTTCCTTTGTTAAACAAAAATAAAGTGGTGTACAGCTTAGTTACGTATAATCTTTATTAACAAAAAAAAGGTGCAATGGACTTACTATTTAGTCTTTCTAATTGTAATTTATGTATTTAAAAAAAATTTAGTTCTAGTTGAAGCATTTTAGCCGTTTTTTTTGTTCAATCTAGCCGGCCGCCCCGAAAAGTTCTGGAAACACTGCACCATATACAGCAAAAGGACGATGCTGCTGGCGTGTGGATATGATATTGACATCATTGGCCTGAAACCCACGGAGGTTAGCGCAGCATTTTGCAGCTTAGAAAAAAAGCTAACGAGATTGATCTAGCGGTGAACGAAGACAAGACACAGTACCACCTGTCAACACATAAAAAGTCGTCGGGTATTGGGACACACGTCACTGTTGGCAGTCAAAACTTTGATGTAGTGAAGAGTTTTGTTTACTTAGGATCCAGCATGTACACCACCATTAATGTCAGTCTTGAGATAAAGCGAAAAATAACTCTTGCCAACACGTGCTACTTTGGGCTCGGTAGGCACCTGAAATTCAGAACCCGCTTTCGATGAACAAAAATCTCGCTGCACAAATCTCTCCTTATGCCCGCCCTTTTATATGGCGCAGAAACATGGAAGATGACAAACATGAGACGTTTTTGGGGCGCTTTCGTTAGAACTGCTCTTCGCAAGATCTATGGCTCCGTTGGTGTGGGCCACGAGTACCGAAGAAGGTGGAATGACAAACTGTACGAGCTTTTGAACGACATGGACATGTTGTTCGCATGAATGACGACGCTCCGGTGAAGGTATCCTTCGACTCCGCACCCATGAGTGGACAAAGAAAGCAAGGCCGCGAACACAGTGGAAGGACCAAGTGCAGAAGGAATTGTCCGCACGTGGGATGAACAACTGGCGCAAATCCGCAATGGAGAGAGGCAACTGGCGAAGTTTTTTGGTATCGGCCCAAACTGACAAACGGTTGTAGTACCAAATAAGAAGAATAACCTCCCAAAATTTAACTGGAATCTATGCACTAGTTTTTGAGTTAAGTCAGAACAACGAGAAGGGCTATCATCTTATACATACAGATTTTCGTACTGTTCAAAAAAGGCGCAGAAGTTAATTGAAGTAAAATCAATAGGGGAAATTAAAAAAATAAAATTTGTTTCCTTAAAACTCTGAACAACAATATTCTGAAATAATTTTCCATCCGATTCGCTTCAATTTTTTTGTGGGTCTTATACATGAAGTAAGATAACACGTGTTCGAGGAATTTTTTTTTTTTTCCTTTTTTTCTTCGGAGATATGATCTGCCAAAGTTCGCATTTTTTTCGTGATTCTGACTAATCATGTACTCCTTGAAACCTCGGGTTCTGCCCGTCGTAGAGACTTCGTCTTAACGCCATTTTAAAGCTAAAGAAACGGGCTTAATATTTCCGTATATAAGATGGTCAAGATTGTCCTAAAGCTAACTTAGCTATTAACAGTTGAACGTTTTGAAGTTTATTTGCTTAGTGAAGACCAGTAAATTAGGGATTTAAACTCATTAAATCGTAATCCTTGTTTAATTCCCATAAAAACCGTGGTTCAAAAAAATGGGGGTTTTTCAAGAACTATTTTTAAAATATATACTTTATGTCGAGATAGTTTATTTTGTGAGATTCAACAATTATTTGTATTTTTTTTCGAAAACTTATGTTAAGATATATTTGGTAAGGTGTGTGCAAAAAGTAAAATTTTATTGCGGATTCCGATAGAATACCTATCCAGATATAATATTTGTATGGCAAGATTTTTCTTTAAGGCGACAAACCCCTAGAAATGGGCGTGGAAATTGCAGGACTAAAATTAGCAAAACGCAGATTTTATTGCGGATTTCGGCAGAATATCGCTTCGTTAACAATATTTGTTCCACGTTTTGCAAGCTTTATTTATACAAATGCCACGCCCATTTTTAGGGGCTTGTCGCCTTAAAGAAAAAAATATTATACCTGGATAGGTGTTCTATCAGAATCTGCAATAAAATTTAAATTCTTGCAAAAACTCGATGTTTAACACTTGCTAAATATATCTCAACATAAGTTATGGAAAATAAATTCCAAAAAATGGTTTATTCGCACAAAATAAACTATCTCGTCATAAAGAAAAATATTTTAAAAATAGTTCTTGAAAACCCCCCATTTTTTAACCACGGTTTTTATATATGTATAAAGTTAGCGAAACAACATCGACCAAAAAATGTCGCATATATCCATGAATTTGTCGTTTTTTGCCGTTAATTAGTCGTGGAAAAAATAATTTTGTTGCTCTGGTATTTTTTTAGATATAAGGTGTTTTGCTAACTTTATATAAAGTTAGTGAATCACCCCACCAAACTCAAAGACAAACGACTAGGCTTTATGTCAAAATTTGCCGTTTTTTTGGCGTTCTAAGATGAGCTAGCTTACTTTCGAAAAAAATATTTTTTTTTTTAATGTTTAATGTTCAATAATATTTAGAAGAAATGGGAAAAAAGAGCGTTTTACCGCACTAAAAGCACAAAATTTTTTTTATCAAAGGATACTCCTATTCATGTTTATGGTAAACAAAANTTTTAGAAGTAATTGGAAAAAAGAGCGTTTTACCGCACTAAAAGCACTAAATTTTTTTTATCAAAGGATACTCCTATTCATGTTTATGGTAAACAAAAATAAAAAAATAAACCATATTTACATGTATAAATTAATAAACATTCATGCTTGCGAAACTGGTACATCTGGAGAAGGAACAATGGAATCGCAACAAACGAAATTGAATTTTAAAGGGGAGAGTAATACTTCATGGTACCCTAAAGGCGTTGGCCCATTGCAGGCTTGCTTTGCACGCATTGCTGACTTTAATTTGCTTTGAGTTACTTCGAAAACTTGTTTGGCCGAATGGCGGCTTGTAACGCTGTCAAAGTAACCAGATGTCTGGTTGAAAAGTCAATGTCTGTTCCCTTAACACAAGTAATTATTTTCTTAGAAAACTGTAGAAAATGTATCAAAAACTTTCATATTTATTTTTAAGTTAATGCGAAATGATGTTTGCATTTAAAAGAAATGGTAATAATGATACATATATATGTATATCTACATTTACTAAAAAACAATAACTTAAAAGAGCGATTTACTTGAAGAAAAGAGCTATAAGAAATTTCTCCTCTCGTGTAAAATTTGTAAAAGTGGGCTTTTTGCAACTTTTTACTATAAGATAACGATAGTTATGTTAAATATAAATATGGAAACAACGAACAATTTATATTTCGTTTCGAATTGCTTGCATGACTTTTTTTTTTAATTAAGTAAGCAAATTTTTGTTTGAATTTATGTTTTTTGAACGGGAAAATACCTCTTTGTCAAAAGCCTACAAAACGCTTTCAAATGAAACGTTTGCCTATTTTAAACTTTGAGGCGCTTAAAGCAAGTGAAGAAAAGCTGCCATTTGGCCAGCCTTTATACGTTTTAGTATATTCCAAATAATTTTTGACAATTCTCGCAGCGAAGCAAGCAACGCAAGCCTGCATTGGGCCAGTACCTTAAGTAGAAATGAGCGAAAAAATTTGTTGTTTTATAATATAACCTAAAATATTGCGGAAAACCGTGTTTTTACACTTAGAGGCTAGGATATCTCAAAATTCTGACGTGGTAGAGAAATTCTGCAGCTCGATTTGGATTCAGCACCGAAAAATCTACACAAAACGGTTCCACTCAGGTGACAAAAAAAGTTAAAATTTTTCGAACTGTGTAATCAAACAATAATCAAGAAAAAAAAATACTTA